CTCCTGTCATTTGATATAAATAAATAAATATTTTGAATATAATGGGAAGGGGGGGGGTTAAATCAAAGGACAGATTATATTAACACTTTCCATGCCTCCCATGCAGCATATGCCGAGAGAAAATTACAATGCATTCTATTCACTATTTTCAATTAATCTCTTGTGGCATAGGTCACGCACCTACATCTAACAAAGAAATTCAATCCAGGAGATTTCCTGATTAAGGAACTGATATGGATTAATTCAACTACAGACTGTTGTTAATTATTTCATTGGCTGAACGCTAACCAATAAATCTCGAATCTCAGACTTGGCGGACGTGAGTACTGATTGCTGCGCCAACCGCACCTATTTCAATATGTCTATTTTAGGTGTTGAAATTGAAGTCTTCCTGCCTACAATAAATCACACCCGTCATTATCACACTTTTAAACGGACCAGTTCTAATACTATCTGTGGATTGGAAATTCTATCGGATTATAATGATGAAATCAAGACGTGGAGGGAAATAAAACAACGTCACTAGTTGTTTAGGCAATTCTTTTCCGACACTCTTTTAGAGCATGGATTATGCATTTTTGAGATTTTCAGGTGATAAGCTTAAGTTCAGCAACTCGCGTATAAACTAGACTTGCTAATGCGATTGGCCGTTACACTCCACGTCGAACACGCTTCTTCTGTATTCTCAAAGGGGCAATTAAACCACTGCGCTACTGGTGCAAGAAGTTCGGACTCGACGGGTGATCTTTAGATCATTAAGTCAACTGTCGCCTTTTTGTTAGAACATGAAAACATTCCGAGGTTTCTTGCCACAGTCTTTGTGATATATTGCCTCGCTATCATATATGCATAAATCCTCTAACCAATCTGTCTTAAGTTGATTTGTGGATGCATTGTATTATTCACTTTTTTTCATTATTTTACCACTTGCCTCATCAATGGTTTTCATCTAGAGTATACAGAGCTGATTGACCTTTTGTTTAAATTGAGCATGCATACATTATTTTGAGCAGATATATATTGCGTTTTCACATATCTGATTGACTAGAATAAGGCCCTATTTTATCGATTACTTACAATGTGAGATCTTTTTGTAACGAAAAGGCCAATCTTATTTTTCTCTATGTACAATTGTTTTCCCCAAGATAAGGTAATAATGAATCATTTCTTTCATCTATCTTTAAGGCAAGCACATTAACCCTCGATAGAACATGCTGATTTATGTCGCACTCTCTCACAGTTGTGAAGATTGTGAACGTATTTAACGCCCACGCATTAGACACAATATATTATTCTATGCAAACCTACCGTTGCACTGTATGTGAAGCCAGCAATGCACGCAGCACACAATCAACCCTTTGTGTGTTTTGTAGTTTCAAGGCTGCGGCATACGTAAGTTCAGACGGTCTGGAACTTTTTGAAATGCTATTGGTAGAAATATATTAAGATCGCAACGTATTGAGCTATGACTTGTGGGGAGTTTTGGAGTTTTTGTCTGCTCTATACCTAAGGTGACATGTTAACAGGACTTCAAGTTGATATGATCAAATAAGCATTTTTATCAATTTGGGCATCGCCGAAGTGAATTTAGTCAGGAACCTAGAGGTGGAAATACTACGACTTAATCCAGCCCTTTGCACCTAACAATCAAAGATTAAAATTATACATTTCCGTGGGTGCTTTGAGGCCCCATTTCACGACTAGAGACCATGTTAAGTCAGTCAATCCTAAAATTGCCTAGAAACTATCGGTTAAGAGCATTTATGAGAAGTATTTACCTGTTGCATTGAACTATGCTTTTCTTGAATGTTGCTTTTGCCAAAAGATGCTTATGTCAAAGCCATTGCAAAGCTTCCTCGAAAATCAAAAAGGCACATACATTCAGACCTGATATGTATTTATTCAAAATCTCAGGAAGATAAATTTGAATATCTAAACTATGGTGCATTATGACAGGAGGCGCATGGAGTCATTTTGGTGGTATTGTGCGGTAGATCCATGTGATATATATTGAGGTTATAATTTAAGGCAATTGTTCTAAGATGCATTTGGGAATTACATGTTGACATAAATCAACTAATTTTCCTTAAAGAAGCAAAAAATAAATTTTACGACTTCGGAGCAGTGCATTCTACTAACTGGAAAGCGGAAGGCATTATGAATCAAGAGTTCATATGGTAAAGCTTTATTGAAAGGCAAAAAACGGCAAATTTTATGCTTAGCCTAGTCTTTAGCATAGGTGTGCATGTGTGTGTGCGTATGTGTGCGTGTGTGTGTGCCTGTTCTACCAATCACCATATTCGCGTGTTTTTTTATGATTGACAATAAAGGTCGTTTTACCCTTTGAAGGTATTTAACGTCTTTCATGCTGATAGAGCTTAAGCCGATAAAGATTAGAGTAGATTTAAGAAAGCAATTCTTCTAGAGATTTCAGACTATTTGTAGTAATAGAAAATTACAAAATTATTATCATCGTTCGGTTCGCATTTGGGGCAAAATGGGATAAAGGTGAAGTATTAAGGGGACTCCTGTAGCATTGAAGTGAAAACCAAATTGCATTTTTGCCTGCTGTTGACAACATTTCGCCCCCCCCCCCACAACATCCCACCGTTAAATTAAGGTCTAGCTACAATTTCTAATTCGTTAATTATTTTTGAATGCAAAATGCCATACCTTTCTTAGCATAAACCTGTCTCCTTTGTAGAATATTGATCCATGGCATTACAATAGGCTGAAAAATTCTACCACCGCTTAAGCAATCTCTTTGACAACTCACAAAATCCCAAAATCGGTTCACTTCAACTGCCAAAATAGAGAGAGAGAGAGAGAGAGAGAGAATCGCAGATCTAAGACGGAAAACTAATCAGTATGTCACATTTCAAAATCTTCAGGAAATAAGAAAAAAAAGGATTTGTTCTTAAAGAGGAGGAAATGACAAAAGAAACTGCTTGCTCCACCTCTAAGCTAGACTAGTTTAAACTAATCCGAGGATAGCATTTCGTTTCTTAGTTTATTGTGACTTTAAAATTGTGTTTCCAATTTGTATGTAGTTAAAGTTGGAATGGAAATAAAATGAATGGCCTCATGCATATATCCTCATAAATCACGTATAATCTAGCTGGTTCTCCAATAAATAGGAAAATAATTTTACCAAAATCTTTATCGTTTTCATTTACATAGTCATGAAGCCAATACCGATAAGCATCCCACACTCTTATCTCTACAATGCCTACTTCACCACCTAGGCCTTAATTTACAAAATAACTCGATCCACAATATTTATTTATTATATCTACTGGGAAAAGTATAGTAGCATAGCAGAATGGATGCCACAATTGTTCTCCCCTTCCACCTATCATTCTTATTCTCGAAAATGCCCACCAAGTTGTCGATCCCAATCATCCATGATTACTTATTTGGGGTGTGCGATAGACTTACCTCCACGTGGTGCACCCTGGGCAGCGTATTCTCATACGGCAAAAATTTTTATAAACCGGCAGTTGACTTCTCACTTCAAACTGACAAGACCTCACTGTATGTCATATTCGATCACTTCCACTGCACTCGCCTTATCTTACCTTTTTCTCTTCCTTCATGTCTGCCTGTTTCTTTCAAATCGGTGAATTACTCTTATCTTCCCCCTCACAACTTTCAGCATCTTTAATGCTCTTCCCCGAAGTCGATTAAAGGGCAGATAATAACTTTCATAAAGCCTGCTATTTGCTATAATTAAGTATCATACCCAGGGGTGTGCGATAGACTTACCTCCACGTGGTGCACCCTGGGCAACGTATTCACATACGGCAAAAAGTCTATTAACTGGCAGTTGACTTCTGGCTTCAAACCACCATCACCTCACTCTATGCCATATTCGACTATTTCCACAGTACTCACCTCGCCTTTGTTCTACCTTTGTGTTTGTCTCTTACATCTTTGAAACACTCTTCTGTTCCCCCCTCCCCCCTCTCGACTTTATTCAATTTGATGTTCCTTCCTCTCTGTGAAGCCTGAAGTCAACTAAAGGGCTAATGATAACCATCAAGACGCCTGCCATTTGATATAAATAAGTATCATACCCTAAACCCACTAGTGTCTAACAGGCATATATACCTAGCTAAATGGTTAAAAATTTATTTTCAATCATGTATTGCATCAGAACACTGAGCTATTATAACCCATTGCTAGCGAAAACATCTTGGACGAATTCTTATTTTCTCTCCAATAAATTATAAAACCAACTTTTCAAGACCATCATAGCCCAGATATTTAAGCTGTGGAAAGAGTTTAGTAAAGTGACATAATCAAATATTCCATTGGATTAACAGATTGAATTGCTGTGAAATTATGTGTTCATTTATTGAAACTTGATTTATTGTTTTTATAAAAATTACAAAAAATGCCAACTTTTAGCAAGAATCTAATTTTCCTAATAATCAAATATCTTAATTTCAGAAGTTATCAATT